CCAACTCCAACTCCAACTCCACGACGATAAGCAAACTGCAGGGGGTCCTGATGTGTGCTTGTTTGCTTACTCGGGTGGGTCAACAGGAGTCTCTCTAGGACCTTCATGATGTGGGATGTCAGGGCAACAGGTCTATAGCCATTGAGGGCTGATGGGTGAGTTTTCTTTGGTACTGGAACCAGACAGGATGCCTTCCACAACAATGGCTCCTTCTCCTGGGTCAAGCTAAGGTTGAAGAGGTGTTGCAGAATCCCACAGAGCTGGTCTGCACAGGCCTTCAGGACTCTGGGGCTGACACCATCTGGACCTGCAGCCTTGTTCTGGTTCAGTCTCTCTAGCTGCCTCTTCACCTGACTTCTAGATACAGAAAATAGGGAGGGGGAGGCAAAGGGAGCAGCAGCATCTCCTGATTTAGTTGAAGACAAACTTGTGGATGTAGAAGAAAAGTCCCATGACTGAGGTTGAAGATAAGATAAAGATAATTCATTCATGCATGTTTGAGAAATCCTGCAGCATTTTTAGGCAGCCATGCTGAGGGGTAAAACGACAGGTAGGGACCAGGAACGCCTCTGGGACATGTCTTTAAGCTGAGCTTCCTCATCACGGAGCACACCTCCCCACCCCCCACCCCGCCCATGACTCCTGCAGGCTCTTGGCAGTAACAAAGCAAACGAGTGAAAGTGAAACAAACTGCTGCGCTCCACTACTTCTCACTCGGTGAAGCTCTTTTCAGATTCAAAATACCTTTGAGGGAATATATTTTCAGATGCCAAGTAAACTGCATCATAGCGCACGCGCGAAACAACCCACCCCCGCGCATGAACGCACAACCCCCCACCCCCGCACTGAAATGTATGGGACAGAAGCTGAAGGTGGTTCTTAAAGAGACAGAGGCCAATTTCAAGGCGTTTAGAAGAGGAAGTGATGAGATGATAAGTTTATTTTCTATTTGAACATAAAAGCTGCATTAAACTGCATAACAACTAAAGGTGACATAGATACTTTATTATGGTATGGTATTTAAATATATCCCTGAGAAACACATAATATTGCCCCTTTAATCTATCTATGACGGTGCTGTTTCTACTTTTTCTGTGAATGTTTTGTAACCTCTGTGTACTGCTGCCTGTCTTGGCCAGGATTCCCTTGCAAAAGAGATTCTTAATCTCATTGGGATTATCCTGGTGAAATAAAGGTTTAACAAATATTAATAGGGACTGCAATGAAATTGGGATTAGAGTTATTTTAAGACAAGACAGCTTGGCTTGGAAGTAGCTGTTCATAACCTTTCATTATTACTCCATTAAAAAAACATTCCTTAGGGGAATCAGAGTCACTATTTAACCATTTAACTTGCTGTTTCTAATCTACTTGTTTCATTTTTTTCATTCCTATAATATATATTAGATTATTGTTAACAGATCATTTGTCACATGTTGAAGGTCCTTCTGGGGACGGGTGTTGCTAATTAGCTTTGGTGTATATACACTGTGATGCAGGCATCAGATTGTTTTGATCTATGTTTCTTTATCTATGTATCTGTCCCTATCAAACAAACAATAAAATAAAAATTTATGAAACCTAGGCTGAAAAGTTGAAGAACCACAGGCACAGATTATCACAAATCTTTTCAGAAAAGGTTAAATGTTATTGGTATTTTAGCTTTAAATGTTTGAGCATCTGATCATAACATTTAATAAAAGTTTAGCATTTTTTTAATAAAATCTAAACCACATGCAGGATGAAATTCTGTGCATCACATTCAATTCAAATTCAAATTCAAAAATACTTTATTGATCCCAGAGGGAAATTTGGTAATGTGTCCAACTTGTGTCCAACATGTGTCCAACTCAAGGTTTGCAAACCAATTGTGGCCCGCAGACAGCATTTTATGTGGCTCGTGAGAGCGTCAAATATGTTTTAATGCATTTTAAAAAATTGTCTTATGGGCAGCCTTAAACATAAACCTCATCTCCTATAACGCATGTTGATTATTTTACCTGCAAAATGACGACACTCCACCACTAGGTGGAGGTGCACAGGGTTCAAAAATAGCTGGTGAGATTTGTCGGGTAAAATTTCCATTTCACTGCATTTTTGCCGGCTACTTTTGCTGAGGCCCAGTTAAACTGGAAAGTGGTATTTTCCCAATTACAAGTCCTAAATTTAAACTGTAACACCCCTCCAGTGGGAATTCCCTGCGGGAAAGTGGGAGATATCAGGATTCAAGACTCATCACAACTCAACAGTGAGTAAAACTCTCTTACTTTTACTATTAATTATATTTATGTATTATTTATTTCACATTTAGTCAGTCATATATGTAGTTTTCAGTGTTTATAAGAGGGTGTGATAAAATGCAGTTTCTACGCAGGAAATACCACGTAGAGCTCAGTTATTGTTTGTTACCAGTCCTTAATCATAGCAATGAGATGAGGAACATGATGTTTTGTGGTTTTAGTCTAAGTTAAACACAAAACGTTGAAGGTAATTACATCTGGCCCTTTGAGGGCCACCCTAATGCTCATGTCGCCCTCTGTAAAAAAAGAGTTTGACACTGCTGCTGTACATGATTTCATTCCTAAGTTGCGATGAAAAAAAGATTTTACCCTTTTTGTTTTTTAATGATTTTGTGATGATTGCATCCAGACTCATCTCTCACCTGTCGGTTCATCCTCCTGCACCTCAAACACACTTTCTTCATGAGCACACTCTGGTTTGTTGTCATTCAGGTCCTCCACCTGGACCAAGATCGCCATGGGTGGATCCACCTCATTGTCATGGACATCTTTGGCAAACACAACCAGGATGTACTGAAACAAAACAAAACAAAAAAAAGAAGGCAGTTTGAGATAGTGCTCATTTTGCATGAGTTCTGTCAGATTTAGTTTAAAATAATCCCAGGCATTTGTTTTACCGTTTCTTTCTCCTCTCTGTCCAACTCCTCTGTCACAAGTATTTCTCCATCCTCTGTAACTTGGAAGGGGAACTTTAGCTCTCGCTCTTTCTGCACTAACGAGTAGACGGCATCAGGGTTGTTAGACCGTACCTGGTTGCAGAGACAGAAAACAAAAGTTCAAAGCATTAGCATCAATCGCTGGATGTAGAGTAGATGTTGTGAATGAACTTTGTAAGATTTGTGGTTTGAACTATCTTGCCTTTGCAATAACTTGGGGATATTCTCCCTTTAGGTTCTCTTTTACAGTTATGGGCCCAGGATTGACCCAAAGGTTCTGCTGCACAACAATGTGCACTCTGGTATTTCCACTCAGGGCGTGGTCTGAAGCTCCTCCCATGTCCTGAGCACGGACAATCAGAGTGTAGTCTGGGTCCTCCAGAGGGTTCACGTTACGCCTCCTCATCTCTAACATCAAAGTAGAAAAAAAAATCAAATCAACAAGAAGTTAGCTCAGCCTGCAAACACCAAGGGAACATTGATGCTACCACAGGAAGAGGTGGGTAGAGTACCCAAAAGTTGTACTTAAGTAAGAGTAGCACCACTTCAATATAGTTTTACTCAAGTTAAAGTAAAAATTAGCTGCCCAAAAATGATTCAAGTAAGAGTAGAAAGTGAAAGATGAGCAAAACCTATCATATTTAATGTATTGGAAGGTTTTTGAACCAGTTTAGGTTGTAAAAAAAGGAGCATCATTCAAATTTTAGGAAGAAATTTGAGTTTTTAATAAAAAATAATCCAATAACCACAATCTAATTAACTTTAAAGGTCTACAACATGACCTTCTGATGTGCTTACAAGTTTGATAATTTTTTTTGTTTCTTTATTCTTTTTTTAAATGATAAAAGAATAACTGTCTCATAAATCAGTTTTCAGATCTGGACTCTGGAAACAAACCTGCTCTCTTCACACAGGTGAAGAAAGGGTTTTCTTCATACGGGATGTTTTGCGCTGGACAGTACTCATCAAACTTCACTTTCAGAGCATCGATGCTGTGATCCTCTCCCCGGCTGTACTGGATTCCCTCTCTGGCCTTCAGCATCTCCTCTCCTGTTGAAACACACAGGATTTTAATAAACATGACAGATTTACAGCCCGTGGTATCCTCATGCACTAAAATCTGTGAGAAGCTGCATCACATGACACGTTTAGGCAATCTGCCTCCAATCAAAGTTAATCTTCAGCACACGAGATGATCTATGTAATCTGGATTTACACTGAAGCTGTTTTGATGGATTACAGGCAGAGATGGACAGATTACAGACTTTCCCACAGCCGCTGCTGACAGACTCGCTCTTCATCTGAGCGAAGGTGAGCTGTTTACCTTCTTTTGTGGTGGAGATCTCTCCGGTGTCAGGGTTGACCTGAAACAGCAAGATGTTGTGATTGTTGGGGATCTGGCTGACAAGGCTGTAGGTCAGATGAGCATTGGGGGAGTCTGGGTCGTCTCGGTCTGATGCAAACACTCGGGTAAAGGCCACACCTGATGGGGGTGCACCAAAAACAGAACCAGTGATACAGTTTTATAACTGAGAGTCTGGATCAGAACTTTTAAATCAACTGGGTAAAATTTATTTAGTTATTTAATCGGGACAGTGCACATTAATGAACAATCTTATACTTCTGTATAGACTGTAAATAAGCCAGATTATAGCATAGTTGCTCATTTACATCTGTAGTATTTAATCAGGACAGTGCACATTAATGAACAA